TGAGCAAGATCCCGATGCGGGACTCGATCCCAGGACCCTGGGATCATGACCTGAGCCGAAGGCAGATGCTTAACCGACTGAGCCACCCAGGCGCCCGGTATCTTACTCTTTTTGATGTAATTATAAACGGTATTGTCTTCTTAATTTCTCTTGCTGCAGAGTTATTTGTGTCTAGAAACACAACAGATTTCTGTGTATTGATTTTTTTTTTTTTTTAGCGTGCAACTTTACTAAATTCATTTATTCTGAGACCTTTTTAGTGAAGCATTTAGGGTTTTCTATATATAGTATCATGTCATCTGTAAATAGTGACTGTTTTCTTCGTGAGTTTTAAGAGCTCTTTATTTTGGCTATGGGTCTTTTATCAGGTATGTGTTTTGCATGTATGTTCTCCTAGTCCCTGGCTTTTATTTTCATCCTCTTAATAGTTCTATTTGCAGAGCAGAAGTTAAGTCCAACTTACCAATTTTTTCTTTCAGGGATTGTGCTTTTGATGTTGAATCTAAAAAGTCCCTTCTCTTTTAATGTTTGTTTCTTCATTTTTAGGCATGTACCTTATAAATCTAATCTGATCATCTCCACTTTAGTAGGTAACTTTAATGCTTTTGCATTCAGTGTTCATACTGATATATTTTAATTTTCTATGATTTAACTTTATGCGTTCTTATTTCCATGTTTTTCTTTCTTTGCCTCCTTTTTCTCACTTCTATCAGATTCATCAGGTTTGCTTTATTTTTCTTCTATTAAAAAGTGTAATCCATTTCTAATCTTGAATCTAAAATCGTTCGGGGTTTTCCTCTTCCTAAACAGCTAGAAAAATGTGGAACTCCAATTCTGATTGTCCTGTTTCTTATATGTTCTCCAGGATTATTGCTCCAGTATTATATTGAAGAAGCCTTGGAAATGAATCATTCTTGTGGAGTTACCCACAGGTTTACTAATTTCTTTGCTTGTTTTTCTTCCTCGTATACCTGTCCTTTCAAGTGAATCTAGTTTTCTTTCCTAAACTATATCCTTTTTTAGTTCCTTGAAACCTCTTCACTGATAATAAGCTCTTGGAGCTGTTTTTGTAAAACTGCCTTTACTTTTGCCCTCATTTTTGAGTCATTTAACTGGATTTAAAATTCTAAGTTGGCCCTTATTTTCTCCATTTCTTTGAAGAATTTTTTTCATTGGCTTTGAATTCATTTGTTGCTATTAGGAAATTGCCATCTAATTACTGTTCCTTTATGGGAAATCTACCTTTTGTCTCAGCCTGCTTTTAAGATTTTTCTTTATCTTTGGTGTTCTGTAGTTTTACTACAACAGATCAATAGATGTGGATTTATTTTTATTTAGTCTTAGTGGCATTTGTTGTACTTCAGTCTGAAGATCTACTTTTTAAACAGTTCTCTAAGATTACTGGCTTTCATCTCTGAGCATATTAATTTACCCATTTTTTTGGTTTTGTTTTGTTTTTAAGATTTTACTTATTTATTTGAGAGAGAGAGTATGAGCACAAGCAGCAGGGAGTGGCAGGCAGAGGGAGAGGGAGAAGCAAGCTCCCTGCTGAGCAGGGAACCCGATCTGGGTCTCGATCCCAGGACCCCGAGATCGTGACCTGAGCCTAAGGCAGATGCTTAACCTACTGAGCCATCCAGGTGCCCCTCAACTTAACCATTTTTACCTCCCTTTTATAACTCGTACTAAATACATTTGAGACCCTTTCAGTCTTCAGCCTTTTATTTTTCATTGCCCTGCCTGGGTTGCTTCCTATGTAATTTCTTCAAGATCTGTCTTATAGTTTATTAATTTTTTTAGCTGCAACCACTGTGTTATTTTATTCATCAATTGAGTTTCTAATTTCAGTGACTGTATTTTTCAGTCTGAGGCTTTGTAGTTTAGAACTTAGAGCAGAGTCACGTTGTGGGGTTCAAATTCTTGCTTTACCACTTACTACCTGTGAAACCACCAGCAAATTACTTAACTGTGATTTTTCTCATCCATTAAATTAGGATAATAGTATAGATATACTATAGGTATAGAATCTAATAGTTTAGAATGAGAATTAACAGAATAATAATAAAGGAATTAGATAGTATGGTGTGTGTAAGTGCTGTGTTTTAACTGCCATTGTCACATTTGCATTTTTGTTTTACTTTTTATTTCACACATCATTTTAAATACATTTAATTTTAAATTACCATCTAATCAGTTATCTGAAGTCTAATCCTATTTTCTGTTGACTTTTTCTCATGATGGATTGGGATGATTTTCCTATTGATTTGAAATTTTGGGTTATAAAAGTGTCTCTTCGTTGAGGCTTTAACTGTAAGAATCTTCTTTCGTCTGAGTGTGGACCTCTATATCTCCAGTTTTTGTTTCTGCCAATCTCTTCAAGAGCCTGAAACCAATGTCTGTTAATAGCTTGGCATGGGGTATGACACATTCCTGGCACTACAGTATTTAGAGATCAGATAAAAGTGACCAGAGAGATTGAAAGTAGAAAACCAAAGTTTGACAGAAATCAAGGGAAAATACCTCATTTTTAAAGGAGGGATCTGGGTGAGTTATGAAAGTTATATGCTGCTAAGAGATGAAGTAAGATGTGGAGGATTTCTGTGACTTTTGAGTGATTGCAGTACAGTGGTATGGGGAGAAGCCTTATGAAATAAGAGATTGAAGACTGAGATTTTTTTGTAGTATACCTAGTGCAATAAGAAGAAATTGAAGGCATAAAGATCATAGAGGAAGAAGTAGAACTATCTGTACTACAGGTGACATGATTGTAAATAATAAAGTTCTAAGTTAAAAAAATATCAAAAGCACCAAATAGCTAGAAATAATTTTTAAGAGAAGTTGTATAAGACATCTACACTGAAAACTATATATAAAACACTGCTGAGAGAAATACATGGAGATATATATAACATGTTCATGGATTAGAAGATTCAATATTGACATCAGTTGCTCCCAGCTTCTTTGATTTCATTACAATCCTGATCAAAATCCCAGGAGAGTTTGTTGTAAAAAATCAAGCTGAGTCTAAAATTTGAAAATGCAAGGTATTAAGAATAGGCAAGACAACTTTAGAGAGCAAGCTGATAGCAAAATTTACATGTGTATATACAGAATATCTAAAATAGCCAAGATGGTCTTAAGGTATTTACAGTACCTGATTTGAGACTTGGCATAAAATGAGAGTAAGACTATGGTATAGTTTAAGAATAGATATTCTAATCGATGGAATAGAGTCCAGAAATAGATGAAATCAAACACTTGACAAAGGCACCAGGTTTTCAGTAAATGGTGGTTAAGGCAGTTGGATATCCATGCAGAATAAACAAACCTTGGTCTGTCTCAAGCCATAAACAAAATTAGTCTCAGATGGTTGAAAGTCCTAGGTAAGAAATCTAGAACTATGATGTGAAAACTGAAGAATATTCTCATGACATTGAAGTAGGCAGAGGTTTAGTAGATGGCACAAAAATGCACTTGACCATAAAAAAATTGATGTATTTTTGGACTTCAAAAATATTTTAGAAATTCAGTTCATCAAAAGACACCATTTGAAGATGGGTAAAGAAGGCCTTTCTAAACAAGACCTCAAACTCAGAAGATGGTAAAGGAAAAAATTGCAACTTGGATAAATTATCTCCTCTCCCCAAAAAGGGAAGAAAGCAAGCAAGAAAGACCTGAAATATAAAGGTTCTCATTAACAGCTTCAACAAACTGGGAGAACATTTGCTGCATAATTACAATATATGAAAAGCACTGTGAGATAAAATAATGGCTCCTCAAAGATGTCCTAATTTCCAGAGCCTGTGAAGGTAGCAGATGGAATTATAATGTGGGAGATTATCGGAGAGAGCCCAGCGTAATCACAAAGGCACTTAGAAGTGAAGAGGGAGAAATCCAGAGTGATGGCGATAGGAAGAGAACTCCACTGACCTTGCTGGCCTTTGAAGGTGGAGGAATGGAGACACGAGAAATGCAGGTGGCCTCTGAAAACTGGAAAAGGCAAGGAAATGAATTCTTCCCTAGAGCTTCCAGAAGAAATACAATCCTGCCAACACCTTGATTTTAGTCCAGCAAGTCCCATTTTAGACTTCTGATCTCCAGAAGTATAAGATAATGAATTCGTGCTGTTTTAAGCCACTAAATTTATGGCAGTTAGAGCAGCAATAGGAAACTGTGCATACTGGTTATCAATAAAAAAGACAAGTAATGTAATTTTAAGATGGTTAACTCACAAAATTAAACCTAGATGTCCAATAAATATGGTTAAAAACACTGAATACCACTAGTAATCAGAGAACTCAAATTTAAATGAGATCTAGTTTGCCTATTCGATGAGCAAAATTTTCATAGATATTATCCATGCAGTCTTCTCAAGGATCCAAGAAGAGTGTCTTTATACATTGTTGGTGATAGTCTAAATAGGAAAGCTGTTTTAGAGGGAAAATCCATCAAAATTAAAGATTATTTCCTTGTGTATACCTGTATACAACTTGAATCTTTCACAGGGAGTATCTTTCCATATCACTTGTGAAACTATTTTTCAATGTATAAAGAAACCGAGTCCAAGGTCAATACAAGAAAAGCAGCAAATGCAAAACGGAAGATAACTACATGGGGCGGTAGGGGGGCAGAGGGAGAGAGACGTACTGCCTGCTGGATTTTAGGATGGGGTGACAGCAACATTAGCTGGAGTTAATAATTTTCCCTCCTCACCACACAGCTGCTCTGTCTACATCTTCTCTCACATTTACTGCCAACGTTCTGTTTATTGCATCTGTCTGTGAAAGTATCCGTACACCCCGCCCCCAGTCCTCTAAGAGATGTGGCTAAAAGCTCAGTCTGTTAGCCATGTCTGCACTCATTGTGCAGCTGCTGCCTAGATTAAGTACTCATGATGAAAGAAATGTTTTTCATGGACACATGTTCCCGTAACAGTCATCCTTTTGGTTTTGTACACCTTCTAACAGTCTTGAAACAAGTACTTAATGGTGGTGAGCATTTTGTAATGGATGTAATTGTCAAATCACTGTTGTAAACTCAAAACTACTATGTCAACTATACTTCAAGTAAAAATTTATATAAACGAAAATTTTTTAAATCTTAAAAGTAAACTCAATGAGCTGCTCAAATAGGTGCTCAGGCCAGGGTTGGAGGTGGCAGATGATGTTACCAAACTTTAAACTTTTAAAAATGCATGAAGCCAGATGGGCCCACAGGTCCTCTTCCTTCCTCCCATCTTTCTTGCATGGCTGTTTTCCCAACACGTTACCCTGAATATTCAGGTAAACACTCCTCAGCAGTGAGCTCCCAGTGAATATCATGGATTTAATCTTTCTGGTTGGAATATATAGGTGGAGGGCGGCTATCTAGTTAGATTGTGGATGTCTCTAGTCATTGTAGACTGGTGTCCAGAAAGGGATTATGGCCTCATTGACCAAAACCCACTCATGCCCGGGAAGAAGAGTGCCTTAGCATGTTGCTCGTAGTGGGGCAGCCAGGACAGAAATCTTCTCTCCCAATTGGGGGTCAGGGATCTTTTCTCAACATCTGCCGTCTCCGTGTACCTTACTTAAAGGTGGCATTCTTATGCTTTCCTGAGCTTTCCTTGAACTCTGTTACACATTATCAGTTTAAATTTACTCTTAAAGGGTTTCAGCTTTGGACAAAATTTCCATATTCTGGACTGAGTTCAGGTCTCTAATTAGCAGGCATGCTTTACAAGCTATGGCAGGGTAGTCTACCACCAGTTGAGCTCTTTGTTATTAAGGGGCCTGTAAATTGCCTAGTTCAATAACTGACCATTGGTCCACTTAGCTGGGGGCTCGAGAAAAAACATTCTACCCTGTGGTGGCTTTGTAATGTGTCAGTATGCATAGGCTGAACCACATTTTCCAGAATTCCCTTTCTTGTATGTTTCTGGTTGGGGTGGGCCCCAAAGGAGATTCTTGTTGGAGATTTGGAGGGCATATGTGAAGTAGCAGCCCTTT